ATTGTTAAAAATGTCTGAAAGGTGGCCCCACAGGAGCAGGACTGGACACCCCTGAGCGGAACTCTGCAGGAATGGCGCTCCCAGAGCAGGACTGGACACCTCTGTTGCAGGGGTCTTGCTTAGGTGTAACAGTCATGCTACACATGTTTGCAGGAAAACAGACAGCTGTAAGTAACTTGCTGCATGAAGCTCTGACCTTGTTTCGCTTGCAGTCTGCACAGCTTCAGACTCTCAGGTGGCTGTGAGATACTGCATGCAGGCTGGGAGTGGGCGCAGAAGCCTAAAGCTCCCGCCTACACAGACATACGGACCAGCGCAGATCCGCGACCAGTTCTGCAGTTACTGGAACTGACTAAGGCTGAAGTTCTGAGAAAAGCAGCAGCTCTTAGGTCAGTCTTTTAGGGCTGTTTTTCGATGTAGACCCTACACCACATCCTTTTTTGTCGCTCTCACCCACACATGCAAAGGTGTCTACAAATAGAACATAGAGCAAGCATTCTAGAGAAACCTGCAAATCCACAACACACCTCAAAACCTTTTGGCTGAATTTTGACAACTTTGCTCTAGTGAGCAGTAATCAATCAAGTAATCAATTATACATGTGGGCATTTAGCATAGCGTTCCTTTGTAGTTCTTTCGTAGCAGTCATATTGAGTATACTTCTTGTTAAGGTTTTTTTTTTTGTTTAAATTTTTTTTGTGGTAGGCCTACTAAACAGAATCACAAAAATAATGACGACTCCTGTCTTTTTTTGACTGGTTATCATTGAACAGTTAGCCCCTGCTAGTAGATGTCGCAAGTAGACCATCTGGCTGCATATATCTTTCCAGAGAGATCAGATTGGCTACCAGGCATTTACTTCCGGGGGTTCAAGCTTCACAATGGAGATGAATGGGAATGTTAATGGCTAACTTTCTGCGTTATTATAGGACGTACTTAGGTAGGACATACTTTTTAATTATTGGTTGCAAAAAAAGCATGTTACTGCTGCAGTAAACGGAAGATTGTGCTAATTCTTTGTACCTCCCTCAGGCTAACAGTGATGTTTGCGGGGGTCTTGTGTTCCACCAAGCAAAGTGTCACATTCCAGAAGGGTGAGGTTGTTAAATCAGTTGACTGGGAAAGCGAGGGTGAGGCATGGGCACAGGGTTCGCTCACAGAGTGAAACCCTGTACATAAACTCTACAGCACGGTTTCAGTAAAGCCATGTTTGACTGCTCATAATATATACATTTGTATAGTGTACTGTAAAGGTTTAAATCTATGGCCAGAGAAGTTGAGGCGCACTCATTTTGAGGAGGCAGTGTTTTTTCTTCCTGTACAGTCTCCAGTGTATGACTCCATGTCACCTAGAAGTGTCTAGTCTTAAACTTACCAATCAAGAAACACTTTCCTTCTCCGCCCCCATCTCTTTTTCCCACGTAAGGTATCCAGCTGGAAAACAGCTCTGATTTTTCCTAGTAAGTGCAAAACATTGCCCCTCAGAATGCATTACACAAGCGGAATCAACCCTGCAGCACTGCATGGAAAACCAATTGGGGGAAAATCCAGTTGTCACATAGACCTACTATTTCCCTAAACTAATTAAACTCGCATGTCTGTGCATGAATCTATACTCTCAAAGTAGCACCTTTTGATTGACAAGAACAGAGTTGGGTGCACACAATATCAGAAGACTGCGGGGACAACATTCCAACTGAGCACTGTACAATCAATTAACAATATAAAAACAGTTTTTTTGTATTTTATTTATTTATTTTTTACACTAATATGTAAATATGTAAATTAGAGGCGGAGTATTTGCAATCCCAGGGTCTTAAGTTTGATTCCTAGGGGACACACAAACTGATCAAATGTAACCTTTAATGCATTGTAAAGGGCCGTTCACACTGAATGCGTTTTTGCATTCCACTGCGTTGCTTTTCCATTGTTTTTCCTATGTAAACTTAAGCTAGATGATGCGTTTGACCATTGTGCTTGCATCTTTTTGTAGCATCTAGCGCATGACACAGAATTCTAAAAATGCAGTGCTTAAGTTAAAATCAACTTTTCAAAAAATATATCTCTAGACCTTGCTCGTTTTTTTTTTGTTGTTGTTGTTGTTTTAGTCCACTGCCCATAAACTCGTTCTGTGTGAATGGCCCCTGCAGGCTCCTAAGTCACTTCTTTAAATCACTTTGCACATTCAGCCAATGGTGTACGTACACATGCATCAGATACCATTGGTCATTGCATTGTGTCTCTGCTACATATTAAGTCAACTTTAAAAGTTAAAAGTAGCTCAACTTTTGATACTCTTCATTCTAATCAATTCTGTTGCACTCTGTCTTGCATACAAGAATGCATCTTGCAGGAACGTGCCCTTACTCTTGTGCTACCAGCTATCTGTAGGTGCGTTGCCTGTAGTAGCAGTTCTGCAGACTGTATAATTCATAAAAATATGCTTTGCATTTTTGCATTTTGGGTTTTCAAGCTTAAATGGATCCCATGCTATAGGAACATTACTTTGGAATTTACATACAGGTCATGGGGCATTATTATTATTATTATTTTTTTTTCATTTTATCTTTTTATTATTATTATTAATTGCCCCAAATTAGCACATTCAATTGAAATTCCTAGTAAATTCCTAGTCCTAGTAGATTTAGGTTTATGCATGAGTCTTTACCTAATATAGTGACTTATGCTGGTTTCCTAATCACATGTCCTTGTGCTGAAGCGCTAGGAAAATATGGCATCAAGCTAGTTTCCATCCAGCACTACCCAAGTAGACTTGGCTAGATTTACATGCGTATGCTGTTTTGGACAAGTCCCAGACTCTAGCGCAAGGCCCCACACCCGCATGCAAATGTATGACGCCTTCTAGTGCTGGCAGACAGCAGATCAAACGTAACCATGAGCCCAGCCACTGATCTTATTCTGTCAGCTGGCCCGGTATTAGCAGCTGGTGGTGGGGCGGGGAAGGTTGGGCAGTTAGGCGAGGTCAGGAATGCACTGACTGTAGTTACTCGACGGAAAACAATGGTCCCATTGGTCACTTAAGTTTATGGCGGAAACGTTGACGACAAGTAATGACAGCAGTTTTGCAGTATCCAAACGAATAGCCTAGCCTTATATGCCAAAACAAATGCTTGACAGTGACCTTATTTATGTTTACCACCTTGGTGCCCTTTCACCAAGTTATGCTATGACGATCTCACTGAGGCAATGCTCCCAGGAACTCCCGACTCTTCATCATTCCAGAAAGTCAACGTGCATGCTAAAGCTAGCTTTTACTGACTCAAGCTAGTAAAAGCTTTCAGCCTTCTGGTCAATGCATCTTAGCTGTTTAGCCATGGTGTTATGTAGCATGCATTTTATCACGGCAGTTACGGAATACTGATAAGGTATTACATGGGCAGAAGTTACTGGGTTCAGTCGAGGACAAGCCCCCAAATAGATCCCCTCCTAGAATTCACAAGGCCTCAGATTAAGGGAAGCCACTACATGTAAGAAGTAGAAGGTTGCTGGTATGGTTTTGCATCAAGTAAGAACATCTCATGGACAGTGTGCAATATTAGTGTACAAAACGTCTAATGAACCTTCAAAAGTGCAAAAGTGACCCAATCAACAAGTCATGCATCTCAAAAAGTTAAATGTAAGTCCTCAGGAACATTAGAATAACATTAACATAGTATTGCATGTAAACCATCCTCGTGCTTAGTGCCAGATAGATTAACAAGAGTACAAATAGACCTCTTCAACTAATTAACTGGTAGGCACTAGAACGGCTGCACATATCAAATAATCTGACCTGCTAAATGCTGACATGACTAAACATGGACTGCATCAGTCTCTCTTCTCCTCTTAGCATTAAGAGTTATTAAATGAAAAGTATGTAGAGGTTGAGAGTTTGTTCCGTGATTCAGTGAAAAGTCATGATTGTCAGTGTGCTGTTCCTCCCACTGGACATTAGATACTCTTTATGTTAGCAATTAAAAGGTTTTTCTCACTATGCTTAACGTCATTTCATCCCCAACGTTTCACGCTTCATTTTTAATCATTACAAAATTGTGATATAAAGCATCACAAAGAAATGCTTGATGCAGTTAAGGGTCAAGGTTTTGTTGGTTAGCATGGCCCCTCAGCCCCTGCTTGTAGATGCTGTAACTACACCACATTTCTCCACTGATGGCCATTCAAATTTAGCCATGTGTGATGTTTTGATGTTGTATCAGTGCATTGTAATATTGACTTCATTTATTTAACGCCTCATTTTTGTGTCTATCTGTTGCTTTTGACATCACGGCTGGATAAACGCCAGTGAACAGTTTGGGATTGTACAGTGTGTCCATTCGTCATCCAATCAGTACTGTGGCCACGTCATTTTGCTGTGGCTCTAGAGTGATTAGTCACGTGGCTGGCTGCAAAAACAAGTTCTCATGAGCAAAGACGCCAGATTTCATATGCATACTTCTATGGGGTTCCACACCAGCCCAGCAAGGCGGATAGGCAGGCAGATAGGTTTCTCCAGGTATTATAACTTCCTTGGATGTAATATATAAATGTACTGTTTTTTTGTGTTATTTTTATTAATGCTAAATACACTCTTAAAAATAAAGGTGCTTCAAAAGGTTCTTCAAACGATGCTATAGAAGAACCCTTTTTGGTTCCACAAAGAACCATTCTGTCAAAGGTTCTTTAAAGAACCATCTCTTTCTTACCTTTTTATAATCTGAAGAACCTTCTTTCACCACAAAGAACCCTTAGTGAAACAGAAAGGTTCTTCAGATGTTAAAGGTTCTTTATGGAACCATTTGGGCAAAAAGGTTCTTCTATGGCATCATGAAGCACCTGTTCAGATTCTGTCGGTTTTGAAGCAGACAGTTTTGCTTTGTCAAATTCTTGCTTCATAATACCTTTGCAGCTGTTTGACTGTCAACTAATGAGGAACTGAAAGGCACAAAAAGAATTTATTTGCATGAACAAATGACATATTTCCTTTGAAATCAAGCAATATAAGAATGCCAAAACTTAAACCTTTCCAGTATGTTAGCACTAGGTTATTGTACTTTTAAAAATACATCGTTTTAATGCTGACTCTTTAACTCTTGAGTCGTGAACCTAAATAATTATCAACCACTTTTAATACTGCAAAGATTTCTCACGTCACTAATTAAGCAACATATGGACCGTATTCAGAAGACAAGCTCAACTGACAGTGCAATCTTTTGCAGGAGCAGGATTACCTTGTTTCTAGGAAGCCAGCAATGTTTTAGACTTAATCCAGTTTTTCCCAAGAACACTTCATATAGGTCATAAACTGATTCCTTCGGCCACTATGTGGGAAGATGTAAAAGTAAACAAGCTCATTGGCCCACATGTAAATGCTTTACCGGACGGACACAATTGAACTCTCTGTGGTGAACTCGAACAGCACAGGGAAATAAGGAAGTAAGCAATAGGAACATTAGCAAGAAAGGCCGGTCGTGGGGACTGCAGCTCAAAGAGTGACGGGAAATAATGGCATTCTTGTGAAGTGTAGGCTTCTATTTTTAAAGTCTGATTGGACGCGAGATGACTGAGCTTCCTACGTCACAGATGGAATCAGAGGGCCAGAATAACCTTCCATATCAATGATTAGATTACCGCAACCAGGCGAACAGCGGATACAGGTAAAATGTCAGTGTGCCACGCAGCCCCCGTGCATTGCTTTTCTCAAGAGGCTGTGTTCTGATTAAATTAGCCTAACGTGGGAAGTTGCTAATCCGAGCCAACCCAGGATTAAGCCTGCAGGCCATCGAGAGTACATGGGAGAATGTGTGTTTGAGTGTGGGCTGCTGAGTGGGTGGTGGATAACGAGGGTTTGCGGAGAACAAATAAACCTTGCAGAACATGAGGCTAACAAAGATTCTCCTGTAATTCCGTTTTGTCTTAATTCATCATGTGATGTCTTGTATAATATCAAATGAAATGTGTATTAATAACAAGCAATACACGCTTAATTTGCATTGGAATTTGGCTGATGTGTTGGGTGAATTCTGTAGAGCTTGCTCTCGGTTTCCATAAAGAAGTGCTTATGAGAAATTTTTCATTTATAATGTGGTCAAGCGCTGCAGGTGGCTACTTATGCAAGACTATACAAATGTGATATACCTACGAAGAAACTAAGGCCTGGAACAAAAGTTGCAATATTGTGATTATATACCTAGAATACCTGCATCAGTGGGCTCATGATTAACTCAGGATTAACTACTTGAAGTAATGAGAAAACTGTTATTTGCATCACATATGCTATATGATTTTAAGAGCGATGTTAAGTGCGTCATAATTTATACAACAGTTATTTTCGGTCAACAAATCATTGGCAGAGTGGCTCGGTATCTGGAATACTTGATTCTCATTGGTTAATTGCGGGTCAGATATTCGCTTTCATCCATAGCAACGTTCGTACAAACTCAGTATAAACTCTATACGTCTCAGTAATCGATTGCGACAGTAGTGAAAATTACCTCAGAAGACAGCTATTTCAATATTTCATGTCGATCTATTTATTTATTTGGTTGAGTAAGCCTGATAGTGTACAGTCAGAGGTCAATATGGCAAAACACAGATTGCCAAGTCTGCATATTACAATGATTTCTGAAGGATCATGTGACACTCAAGACTGGAGTATTTGCTGCTGAAAATTCAGCTTTGTCATCACAGGAATACATTTTATTGTAAAATATATTAAAGCAGGAAACAGCCATTTTAAATTGCAATAATATTTCACATTACTTCTATTTTACTGTATTTTTGATCAAATAAATGCAGCCTTGGTGAGACCCAAAATCATTAAAAAATCTTACCAGCCCCAAGCTTTTGAATGGTAGTCAAAAATCACCCACACTCTGTTGAAAAAAAAAAAACAGACCTGCAAAGTTTGCCATCTTCTTGCTTAATAACCTTTTCACGTGAATTAGGTGGAGGTGTAAATGATTCTTGTGTAATTTTAATATTCCCACAGTACTCATTTATTCCCACTTCCTGTTGACAGACCTATGAGCCATGGCCCTACGCATTGACAGGTGCGGCCTAATGCTTCCCCCTCCGTTTTTAACAAAGGAATCAGGGTAAACAACAATCAGAATGGGCAGAGATACAGACTTGAAAATTTCTCAAACATGAAAATGGGAATGACTTTGATGGTTTGGAATGCTGCTCACCCACACATGCACAGACGCCCACATATGTCCCACACATGTCTCACACATTTGAATACACATAAAGATACCCATTGTACGTCACACTTCAAATCGTTCACATTCACCCTTTCCATTTAAAGACGTTCTTGAATGAAAAAGGCTAATTGATTAATTGAATGCTGTTTAAATTGGCAAGAGCAAAAAACATCTTCAACCTAATTCCCTTTAGGGTGGGAAAGCAGCTAAACCTTCTTACAGCACATTGTGTCAGCTTATTAGAAGCCCTGTACAAAGACATTATTAATCATCTACAATTTGTAAAGCAGTTTCAGGTTTACGGGCTCCACCTTGCTGTGTCACTGCTTCGAAAAGGTGATGAGGGAAGGTGTTAGACTCTATATTAATGCGGAACATATTTCAGTACTGTTGAATTTTAATATTTGGATGAAACCAGTTAGCTATAAAGTTGTAAGTGCATTGTTATTATGACTACTAACAACATTTAATGTATTAAGATATGTCTTTAAGCTGGATTTTTTTGTTTTTGTTTTTTTGATTTAATTACTAATGGGTCTTGAATGAGAAGTTTGAAACCAATATATATCTCCCTTGTCAACTTCCTTGTTCTGGTGTCCACTACATATTAATATACACTATCATATGTGCTATTTCTGCATTATGACTTCTCAGTTACTAATGTGAAATATAGTTGTCCTATATTTTAGGTTTGCTCTAGGGTAGAGTTTACCGGCTTAAACTGCCAGGTATATATAATATGCATACTTTTATATCTTGAAATATTTAAGTATTTCATAATCATTTCTCATCTTTTACATCTCTGCTGCTATATTGAAGTGGCGTCACAAACGTCCTGCGATTAGAATTCGACGTAAGTTTCTTGTTTATCGTAGACTTCTCTGGTATCCAAGCAATGTGTTTTCCTTGACTGGTTGCCCAGTTACTTCTTCATGACGTCAGGACATAGTTAAGCCCCTCCTAAGTCAAAGGCTTCTCCACGTTAACATCTTTTAAGGTGGCTCAGATCTTTTACTTTTGCTATACGCGTGTTTTTCCAACCAAACAAACCTCGTTTGCACTCTTAGATTGCATCTGAGTTAATCTACAGTCAGAAATTCATACAACATTTTGAAATGCCCATACAGAATCAAATAAAGCATGTGGTTTAGGGCCTCCACCTTAAAACACATGCTGACATCGCAAGAAGCAAAGTCTCCACCCATTCTGTGAGCAGCTTTGTTAAGAGGTGTTATACTTCAACTCCAACGCTCGAATGCTGTCACAGGGTGTAGTTTCGGATAGCAGGAGCACTGGCATAGATTTGGGATTTAACCCGGCGTCTGCACTGGGACGGCTGATTCATTTAACCGAGCGTACCGGCTGTTGTAGCCACATCCTAGTGGACAAATCTAAATTACATTAGAATTTTCTCTATACATGCCAAAACTAGGCAACCTTGTGGAGGATTCTGAGACATTGTCGCGAAACTTTGAGGTTTTCGCCACAATAATTGGTGAGTGTCAGAATTATATTTTCTAATAAGGGTGGTAAACTTTTTGATTTTTTTGTCATTTTACTCATCCTCGTGTTGTTCTGTGTCACTTAATTACCTTCTTCGGTGGAACAAAACGAAAATATTAGGAACAGTTTTCATGCACTTGCATATTTTTTCTTAAAATAGTAACTCAGGTTGTCTCAAGTCTCCCTTTGGTCTCTACGGAAGTCAAATAGGTTTGGGACAACATGAGGATAGGTAAATGACAAAATATTACATTTTGTGTGAACTTTTCCTTTAATTAGTGCAAATATAATAAGCCCCTAAGCTTCCACTTGATGTTTATTTCTTGCTTATACAAAAATTGGTTGTTATGGACCTGCTAAATTAGAAATTGGTTTTGCCATGACCTCTTTTTACCACTGGTAGGCGCTCAAGTATTTTGTTGCATTCACACAGTAAATTACAGATGGATATATTGTGTATTGTATTATTATTATTATTATTATTATTATTGTGTGTGTGTGTATATATATATATATATATATATATATCCACACAGGTTAACATAAGTCAATGATTGACTGTGCACCACGTGAATAAGTTGTAAATTCTGCCATAAGGCACAATTGGATCTGCTATATAACTGGATCTGCTTTTTTTTTTAATCAGTAATCTATGTGTATATATATATATATATATATATATCCACACAGGTTAACATAAGTCAATGATTGACTGTGCACCACGTGAATAAGTTGTAAATTCTGCCATAAGGCACAATTGGATCTGCTATATAACTGGATCTGCTTTTTTTTTTAATCAGTAATCTAAGTTTTGTTGCGCAGATAAGGAGCTATATCAGAGTTGGCCTCCAATCTGCAGACGTTTGCAGACTGTAGTTTACAGCTCATTTGGCACGAGATCGTGATAGTGAGTGACGTAAGTGTTCATTTGTAGCCTATCGCCCCAAGCGATACTTCTTATACTCGTACTGTATGACTGGGACGCAGCGTTTCCTTAAGAGCATACTCTCTTTTATGGGGGACTATTTGCATAGAGATAATGATAACCGTAATACACGCTTTTAAACGTAAGCTGCACACGTAGAAAGATTACAGGCTATTAGAACATGCGTGTATAATGATATATTTGCATATGGGTGATTCATCAATTAAGGGAAGTGTTCTGTCCTCTAGCAATGATTATAAAAAATGCAATTTCGCTTTGAAAGATAGATCGTTATATAGCATTAAACATTTAGCTGTGCCTATACTCATTCTCTAGAATGTCTAAAGACGTTATAAATGTTAAATTTCTTAATACTGAACTTATCCCACACCAAGGCATTTACACTTTTATACGTATTTATGAATACAATTTCGATTTAAATAATACAAATGAGTACAATACAAAAGAATTTATAACAAGTAGCCTAATCACTGTTCCCAGAAACATTACTACTACTACTTACATACTACAAAAGTTAATTGCTAGCTAACTTGTTAGCAACTTCTGTTCTAGAAACTGAAGGAAAAAAAGAAAAGAAAAAAAACATTGAAGATTCACCCGTATTAATGTGTAAATTAGGCCTACATATAACAAATATATCACAAAAATCGCTAAAACAATTTAAGTTGTGCAAAAAGACGTTAAAAAAAACTTACACAGTGGGCAACAAATATGCAACCTAAGACACTTCTTGACTATTATTCTTGGCTATATGTAAAATAGTAGGCCTATTTAGTAAACAGAGCGTTCAGTGTTGCTATTTAAACATTGAAAGTGATATTGGGTGACTTTTGTTACTTTGACAGTTTGCCTCATGAATGGTGTGGAATTGGTTCGAGTGGGCTGGAACTCCAGGACTGGAGCTCCTCGCCCACTCAGATTGGATTTGTCCTCAATGAGGAAAGCGATGCGTGTGTGTAGGGGGGGCTCCACGTGGGTAAGAAGCACATCCCCCCATTGGCTACACAGATGACGGCATTACATGCGCCTCCTCTGATTGGGCAGTGCTTTTGTGGGCGTAACCACAGCGGCACAGTGGAGGCGAGATACGGTGAAACAACGGGCATTATTATGCGTGTTTCACTGGAGTTGCTCTTCGCGATGAGGGCTGCGCTTTAAAAAGAAAAAAGGGTCGCGATGGTTTTGCAGTACACTGTCAACGACAAAGGACTACAGTTATGCATTTTAACTGAATATGCATTTTAATGCACTATCGGAAAGAGAGAATTAAATACTGCATTGTAAGAAGCAGGATCGATCACCAAACGGGAATAATCATTGGGAATATTTTCCAAGAGCTTTCACAGATAGCTTTCCACTGAGAGATCTAGCCCTATCCGTCCGCTTCCATCGACACTGTCTCCTCTATCGTAGGCTATCGAATGGACCAGCATCCGAGCGCCCGGAGCTGCAGCAGTCGCGGAGCTGCGCCGTCCTGCGAGAGCGTCTCCGGCGAGCCCCCCATGAATTTGTACATCCACTCCACCACCGGCACACGCTTCGAGCTCTCCCTTCCCGCAGAAGAGACCGTGGAAGGGCTAAAACGAAGACTCTCTCAAAGACTGAAAGTACCCAAAGAAAGACTCGCGCTGCTACACAAAGAAACGTGAGTAGTAGTCTGATGTGTTACTTTTAGACTGCACGGGTAGTTATTTTTTAACAATGGTTAAGAGCCGGTCAGAAGGTGGGCTCTTGGCTGGGCTTCCGAATGGAGATTTTCAGCCACCTCTGATGGCAAGCCGTTTTAACATTTATTCTTTAAACTGACTAGTAGCCTTTTATCTTTTTATGTTATGAGTACTTGTTTTTATTACTAGCACTTGTTCCAGTAGTGATTAGTGTATCTTTCCATTTCACTAGAAAATATAAATGAGAAAACATTACATAAGATTAGTATCTATTCAATTAATCACTTGTAATTATTCAGTAAACATTGGAGCATATTCCTTAACTAGTTTATTTTTCAGTAATGACAGGTAGCTGTTGTTGTTACCGGTAACAGATTGCAATTCTGTAGTTCAAATATATTCAGTTCTAACTAGTAGTTATTAGTATCTATTCCAGTTTAACTATTCATTTGGTAGTATTAGTGTTGAACTATTAAAATAGTCACTATTATCTGTACCACTCTTATGGTTACTAATATTGGGATATTGAGTACTAGCAAAACAGTAATCACCAGTATGCAGGGAACGAGCAGTTGCTGACTAACTATAGTAGTCACTACTGGAGTAGTCAAGTGCTAGTATTTATAACAAAAAAGGTAGACAGTTACTAGTACAACATATGTCGTTTTAAGGACTACATATATAAATGGCTTGCCATAGACACCTGCATCATGGAGCCTTGGTTCATGTTGTTAAATGCATAGCAACTTTGCAGTCCATGTTGCATATCTACCATGATATTTTTGCTGTGGCAGTCCACAACCTCTTGAATAGAGAAGTGAAAGTGATCTATGCTGTTGACAGTGTGCTGTGGAACTCAGTTTAATATAGGCCATGTGCAAGGTGCAGAAACCTGCATTACACCTGAAACTGTAGTACTATTTCCCTTATAAAAGGCCCATCGGTGTGCGCAGCTTTAGTGACAGTAGTGCATGCATATAAATACAAATTCCTCATCACTTGATTAAACTGGTTGTTTTGCTTGATTAGAATATGATTGGCATTAATGTTTGTCATTTTAAACTGGATGCCAGGGAATAAAGCATTCCTAGTGGGACTCGCACCAAGGTGTTAGAATATTCTGAGCAAACATTAAGAGAAAAAGGGGTAATGCTAGTTTCAGTGCCGTTTGCACATTGCCTAACAATTGCACTTGGGTGGTGGAGCTGGGAGGTGAGAGAGAAGCTCTTTTGTCACTTGCAAATGACCCTAACAGTTGCATTGTTTGTGCTTTGAATTGGGCCGATTGAAAAGCCCTCACAAGTAATCACCACCAAATTACATCATCCTTTTAAAATGAAGAGAGTCGCTTAATCTCTTCTGTTTGGTTTAGCTGCCTCCAGGCCAAGTGCTCAGTCCCTTTGTTCGGCAGGAGGTGGTGACATTTAGCCTGAGCACATGTATACACATTTATGCCACTAAGACAGATATTTTTAACAGATTTGTTGGTTAAAAATACATTTAGACTGTGTATTTGAAACACTGGGATTCATGCGGGGGTGTTTTGGGAATAAACATGCTGACTTACATATGTTGTAAGACACCCCTTGTGGATTTTGGTCTGCCGGTATAGGCTACAGATGTACTAGCCTAGAATTATTTTACCTTGTTTCATATACCTGTCTAAAAATGTATATCTAGATTTAAAGAAAAACATCTACATCATAACTGGACAAAAATATATATATATTTTTATGATGGTTTTGTGTATAATTAAAGAGAGAGTTCACCAGAAAATGAAGATTCTTTCATCGTTTGCTCACCCTTGTGTCGTTCCGAACCTTTAAGACCTTCTTCTGTGGAACAAAAAAGACGATATTTTGGAAAGTGTCTCTGTGTTTTTTTATCCATACAATGAAATTTAATGGGGTCCAATGTTGTTTTCGACAAAATCAGTTGCATTCTTCTAAATATCGTTTGTATTTGGCAGAAGAAAGTAAGTCATAAACAGATCTGTTTTGGAAATAAAATGCTGGAATTTGTTGAAGTCTAACATCTCCTTGTTTTTTCTAGACGCCTGAGTTCAGGAAAACTTCAAGATTTGGGAATAACGGATGGGAGCAAGTTAACGCTGGTTCCAACAGTTGAAGCAGGCCTAATGGTAAAAAGAGCTTGAGCAACATGTAATGATGATTACATGTGCTGTACTTTGCCAACTCTTTTTGCCACATGTATTTACCCTGCCGTATCTCTCTTCTCAAAGTCTCAAGCATCAAGACCTGAGCAGTCAGTAATGCAGGCGCTGGAGAGCTTGACGGAAACGCAGGTAAGTTTCACTCTAATAAGGTCAACCCAGTAGATGTTTGAATTACACAGTGGCCCACTACATTGGACAGTTGTGCGTACACTTAACCTAATTGCCAGGGCAGCAGCGAACACCCGCAGTTGGCTCATTTTTAAAGGATCATTTGTATATTTTTGAACTCTCTACTTGGCAAGATGTTGCACTGACACATAGGGTAATGGGATACAGATGATGCCCTCCTGAGCTTTTAACTTAAAGACCTCCACACACTTACTACGCATATTTTAAGAAGCACCTTCCAGTTTCCAGGCAACATCTGTGAGCCGAGGCAAACCCCACCTAGAAGCCACTTCATTGAGACGCCACCTTTCATGTGAAAGAAACTGTGTCCAACTATGATTATGCCGCTTTCTAATTTGTATTTTTATTTCTAGCTAATGGTTAAATCTTTGCTATTAGTTATTTTAACTCATTAAACATATTTTGTTTACATTGTTATATTGCAATTGTCATCCAATCAGTTGCTGGATATTGACAAAAATATCTTCCAAATACACTTGTATGGGCATGAAATTGGTCCGCCACATGCCTCCGCAAAGAAGAGAAGAGAATATCATCTTCTTGCTGATATTTTGGGAAATCCTTAGTTATTCTGAGTTATTCTGTTTGTTTGTTTGTGTGTGAGTGATATGCATGTGCATTTGTGTAGGAGAGGAAAGCGTCTTATCTGTAATGATGACAAGGGAGTGTGGTTGTGTGCGAACGAGGGGGAAGGGTAGACATGGGAGTGCACCGCTCTTATTCAATACGCCTTCTCCTGGCAGTGTCTCCTGTTTCTGTAGAAAAGCTTTTTAACCTGTTAAAAGTGGCTGTTGTTTGGCCTTTCTCATCGAAAAACCTTTTGCAGTACAGTGCAAACATTCCTTGTTCTTTTTCTCTGATCTAATGTAGGCAGCTAACTGTGTCATCTGGTTGCTTATGAAACGGCCCCTTTTTAGAAATCATCATTTGTGTCTTTTTTTTTTTTTTGTAGCTTCATGGTTACGGACATGAACTGAGTCAGTATCATTGTCAAATATGAGATATATCACTCTTTCAGAATTGAAAGTAGTCAACACAATCGTGCAGCCACAACGACTGTAGTGATCTGTGCTCAATGATACCTACCCATCTTGCCATGAAGGAATAGATAAGGTTGGATTCATAGTTCTAAGGGACAACCACATATTCAGTACATAGCAGAATTCCAAGAGCTATGGCGCTTGCTTCCAGGGAAAGATCTATCTCAGACTCCTTGTAACCAGACTGTTTTATGGAAAGGGAAGGCTTGCAGTTATTGGAATGGCATTTTTCCCCTTGTTACTCTGGCCTAACAGCTTTTTCTGGCCTATAATTTAAAGCTGCTGTGGTTTCGCGTGTCTCTCCGTAGTCTCCAGTTTTACCTTCTCCGCCGTTAAAGAGGAAGAATGAAATGACATCAAGGAGTTTCTTAGTTCCAAGGGAAAATCTAGCCCAGTTTCCGCACTCCACTTAATAGATCAGCTGTCCTCTTGAACATTAAAACGCCACTTTTGCATTCAAACAGCGTTTTGTTGCTGGTAACTCTGCCCATCAAGTAGAAATAATGACTGGTGTCTGATTCTTCAGGCGATGCCTCTTGTCTTTCTGAACCTGCATGGCCTTTATTCTGTGGATAAGAAAAAGCCAAAAAAAATCCACAATTGGACTCCATTGACCTTAATTTTATCCACAAAAAAAAAACCACACAAAAATATTATCTTTATTTGCTCTCCTCAGAAGAAGAAAGAAGTCATATAGGTTTGGAATGACATTAATGGTTTTAGTCAACAGACATGATGGAAAGAGGCACCTTGTAGGTTCTGACTGATCGAATTTAGTCTTTACCTGCTGAATCCTCAACATTCAATCTCTTGTAGACCTTGAGTAGGTCAAACCCCTCGAGTGAGATCTTTGAAGTTAGTCTTCTCTTCAGGGTTTGAAGAAAGATGCAAGTGATTGATTATTGTAAAGGACCTTGCTATTGCATCCACACCCTTCATACCCCTTTGTGAGGTCTATATTGATGGCCCCCTGGTACGATCAAAACCCACCAATCGATGGAGAGGGTTAATAAGCTGGTTTTGAACTTTCCGTGTTTGCTGAGGCCTTTGCTAGGTGACCAGTAGTCTTTTAGTCATGCTTGGTATCAAAAGAACCTGTTTTCTTACTTGACCCCTCATAGATAGGTGTCTTCAGGCTGTGGATGAACGTCAGTCTGGTGCTGTTCCAAGCTCTTGCCCCGCATCTCCTGTGTTACAGAAGAAACCGCCTGCAAATGAGTTCCTTGAACCGCAGGGACCCCAATAAATAAAACTGTCAGCTATAGAGTTGGAAGGGAGGAATAAAAACGGAAGGAGCTAGAGGCGTACTCTCACTGAATATTTCATCAGCATCTACTGGCATCCTCACACCCCTCCACCCTCTCTCTCGCTACAAGGCTTCTCCCCTAGCCCTCCTCCCCTGTCTCCCCTTATCATGTTTTCCTTCTCTCTCCTTCACTCGCTCTTCACTGCATAGCAACTGCAGCCCACTGCAGAGCAAAATGCCTCCCCAACAAATCAAAATGGACGAAGTGTAAAAATAAAGGAATAGTAACTTTAGTCTGTTGGCTTAGCCAAGTATACAATTTTTCAACATGGTAACTTTGTTGCCATAGATGTATGTACGTATCTGCCTTTGTTGCCTTTAAATCAGCCTAAACAAAATCTGCAGATTTCTGGCATTTTCTGCACTGATTTTAGGATGAAATTTGCAGAATTAAAAGAGATTATAAGTCTTTTTAACTAGTCTTTTTGACTTGTATTCCAGTTAAATGTCTAAAAATCATTGTATCAAAACAAATTTACATGAGAAGAAACTGCATAAGATATCAAGACTTTTCTTGAATATAAGGGTGTTTTGTTTCACAACACTGGCAGATTTTTTACTTGTAGTGAACTTGTTTATACTTAAGTGAAAAAAAATCTGCAAATGCAGTAAGACAAATTATACTTGTATTCAAGATACAATCTTTTAATAGCCCTAGAGATAAAGAAAATACTTTCTCAGAAAAACAATTGTTAATATTTTTTGCTTTTATTTGATTAATTATTTAGGTTTTTTAAGAAGACATTACCTTTACAAAATACTATATTTGGTATGAATCTGCATTATACTACATTCTTATTAATAGCATATTATGTTGTATAAATGTTGTATAAATGAAAATGGAAGAGTAAAACTTTGAATTATCATGGCTGCATATTCCATGTGGGGCTGTTTTTTAGAGAATATGACCTCCAGTTTATTCATTTTTCATGTAGTGAGTGAAGAAGGGGTGGATCCAGATAGGCTTCTGGCTTCAAAAGAATTTCCAAGCCAGTGTCAAGAGCGCTCTGTTATAGAACTTGATCTGTGTGCCTTGACGAGAGAGAGAGTCAGTGGCCTTAAGAACAAAGAGACCTGTGAAAATGTACACTTGCGGTCTCTTTTGAGTACCTTATCCATTATAGGTGATATAGACTACATGTTGACACTTCAGGCTATGCACAGTACACCTGACAGATTCTATATAGTCGTGCTAGGTGAAGTGTGGAATTTCTGGCCACAAGTCTTCTAAAACTCTTGATTATAGGCAGATTTCTGAGGGTAACTAAATATGGGCTTTCTTCCACAAGCACCAAGACTCTCCAAAATGGTCTGTTAATATATCTTTGTTTTTCCAGTTAGGTCAAGAACTCTTAAACACCACAGAAACATTGTGCAATGTATACTTGCACACACATTCCTTAGAGGCTGTGTAAGTGAAGACTGCAGATCCGTAAACCTGCTGCATTTTTGTCTTTGTGGTCATTCAGTCATTGCACCAGAAGCGTGTGTGTTGGCCAGTGTATTGACAAAGGTTTGTGTGACTTAAACTGATGGCTGCTGTGGGGAATGTCCTCGCATTTCAGAGGCACTTTTACTGGTTTGTGGAGGTTCACGCACTCTCTCATTATGTGGGAGTCAGTGAGATGCTTGGCCTTGAAGATGACTGATCTTCAAGGCTAGGCTAATGTGGGGTCTGGCATGCTTTACTTAATGATTTGCAGGCCCAAATAATTTTAATTATTTGTGATTGGATGTTCAATGCCCTCTTGCTTCAGATATTCAAAGCCTTTATCCTATTACAGAGTCACTCCAGTATATGCTAATGGCAGCTGAGAAATTACAGAGACCTTTTGTTGGAATCTGAATTGTGCATTAGATGCAAATCAACTCGCAAGACAGCTGTCAGTCAGGGGTGGGATGCACCCTCACACAGGGGTGAGCCACCAATGACCTCTAAACAGGGTTTACCATCAAAATTGACAGAATAATCAGTGTATTTTTATTAATTCATAGTCATACATAGCTATCAAGAGGGGTTTTTAACTTCATTTCTCCTAAAGATGGGAAAAGGGTCTCTGTGCCTGGCTCTTCAGGTCTGTCAGTAAAATACACAGAATAGTAAAGGTCACCCGACTGCAAGTGTGACTGCTTGATGGAAAAATAGATCAGCAAAAGATCTAGAGAAACAAACGATGGAGGGTAGGACCCAGTGATTCAAAAGGTTAACAAGTCAGTCAACACAAGCACACTCGGATGCTGAATAGATCTACTGAAGGAATCGTCACGGCTTTCATTGTTTTTTTTTGTGGTACATTTCATTCTTCTATGCTTGTGCATTAGAGTCATACTGCATCTTTACACCGTTATTGTTATCAAAGCTGAAGATGCGACAAAGAAAGTCTCAGGGTTGAAATCGAACAAGGAGGAGGTTGTTTCAGTGTTTGGAGTGCAAAGTCAAGACAAGTATTCTGTATTTCTCGCCTTGTTTTCCAGGGGTCAGAGAGCCCCTTGGCTCAACTTCCATTCTGGGTACTCCTAAAATGGGCAAGCCTTTCCGGTCCAGCCTTTCAAACAATTAGCTATTATGTGACTGTGTGGCGAGTGGGTCTGCATCCTGTTTCTATGGCTGATTTTTCAGGCCTGGTGCCAGACAGTAGTTAGTGTTTCGTGGGTGTGCTGAATGGTAGAGTGTTTTGTGTGTGTGCGCCTTTTGTATACTTCTGCTTATTCATAAAAGGGCATTCAGTCATGTTGCCACATTCTTTTCCAGTTTAGAGCAGTGCAAAGGGAATTACTAAAGCCACGCCCTCTTCATTTCCTGTTCACAGGTCAGTGACTTCCTGTCTGGACGGTCTCCTTTAACCCTGGCTCTGCGAGTAGGCGATCATATGATGTTTGTCCAACTGCAGTTGGCAGCTCAGCAATCGGGCGGCCCACAGTTACAGCATCGACATCTCATATCACGTGGGAGTTCAGAGGGCACGGCAGGACAGTCTCATGCAGCCTCAGGCTCTGCCTCTGGGATGGCAAGGGTTTCACACAACCCTCACCCACATCATCCGCACCCACATCCTCATCGTCCAAACACAACACTCCCATCTAACCCAGCAGCCTTCCCACCGTCCCCCTCTATCCCATCTGTTCCTCCCATGTACCCCACCTCAGCCTCAGGGCACTGTAGCCCTCCACCACACCCCTCTCAACTCCCAGGAAGTTTTCTTCACTCCCAGCAGCCATCTTCAGCCTGTCCCACCTCTCCAAGCAGCCCTAGCCCTGCAGCTTCCTGTCCAGAGGTTAGTCACTGTTTGTCATACATTATCCAATTCAGTAATTTTGTATAATAATCGTGATATATTACGTTTACCAATTAAATTGGTAAGATGTGCAAACTATACTTACGGTCGACCACTGGTCCATGTCTTGCACAGACCAACTGCCCAGCAAAGACGTATGGCAATTGTAACACTCCCTCACGATCCCGCAAACCAGGCGCTATCATCGAAAGTTTTGTGAACCATGCTCCTGGAGTTTTTTCTGGGACATTTTCAGGTACAACTTCTCAATAAGTTTAATATTTGATAGGCTCAGCATATGACAGTTTTATCTATATATCTGTAATTTATATCTAATTTCTATATTGTTTTTTCTTTCGGAAGGCACTTTGCATCCCAACTGTCAGGACAGCACCGGACGTCCTAGGCGAGACATATGCACCATCCTTCAAATCTTGAATGACCTTTTAAGTGCCACTCGGCATTACCAGGGCATGCCACCGTCGCTCACGCAGCTCCGTTACCAGACCCAGTGCAACAGCCCCAGCTCACCAACACCGTCGCCACCGCCTTCACCTCCCCACACCCACGGACTAAGCGGCCTGCCTACCACAGTGCCCTCTGAGACCCAGCCCACCCTCCACCCACTGGTGCAGTGTCAGAGCCAGATCCGCATGTGCAAGCCTCCTGGTAAGTCGTATTGCATTTTCCAGAAATTATGCAGTGATGCATTTCCTAGAGCATTTACTGTAGCCAGTAGTATTTAGGATCTAGCCAAGAGGTTCAAGATTCATATTCAAGGTAGTGTTTATGTAGTTTCAGAGGGTCCAAGAAAAGAGTGCAAGGATTAAAAAAAGTGAAGATGTTAGAGAGGGGGAGGAAAAACTAGGCTTGTTCTTTCAGGCCCTGGTAGTCATGCTTCAGCAACCACAGCATGTCTGGCTTTGTCTCTATGCTGCCGGTGTCCTCTTTCCTCTGAGAGGCAAAGAATGGGGGTGGACTACTCTGTTACCAAGAGGAAAGAGGCAGAGAGCCAGAGCGAGAGAGATAATGAAGCGAGATAGCACTCACAGATGTGTGGCAGGTACCCCGCTCTGTCTGGTAAAAACTGATTATCTGGGGCAGCTCGCTTCAGCGCTGAGGAGGAAATTGAACTGCTCTGTCATGAAACACCACTGTTGGAGAGTACAGAGATAATGAAGAAATATCTTCCCAGCACTGTTCAAAGCACAGGCCTGTTATCAATCTAGACTAGATTAAAAGCATACCAAGCTAACGTCGCACAATATGAAAACATATCATCAACTACTGGGGTGGAATAACTTCGGTCACTCGATTTTCGCAAAGGGTTAGGAAATCCTACATGTTTTTTTGAAGTGATACATACTTTTCCTGTGTGATATCCCCTCTTCCGCTTGCATAATGCTCCATCATTGGTCTTTATACTTCTCCCACATTGAAAGTAAATGGGCCATCATACTGGTTCCACTCTTGCTTGAATGCAAAAACCATCCCAGCAGTCAGGGCCAGGGCTAGTCAATGGACACTTGTTTTCTGAGCAGCATTTAAATAGAGATTCACTCAAGAAATATGAGCTCCAAGAGAATGCTCATTGTGTTTGAAAGTCAGCAAGAGGAGGCAGAGGGAAAATACCAAGAGTCCATTCATAAAATTGTTGTTTATATCCGGCCAGTGACTGCCCACTGATTAATTGGCGCTTCCTCTTGGGCAAGATGGAAAAAAGGGAAGGGTGCTGTGGCTATTTTCTGGATAAAGCCACCTTGCATGTCAACAGCAAGATTTAGTTGTGAGATCGCTAGATAGCTGTCTTGAGCTCTTTAAGACCTATATGCTTTGGCACCTGGTGACCAACTTGCCTACATGGGACAGACAGTGTCTTTCATGACCCCTTTGAAATGTCACATATTTTTAGCAGCTGTCTACTTGATGTGATTTCAGACCAAACAAACCCGATATCCCCACCATACTCATTTAGACATCCATCTATGCACATTGTTCTTGGATTCTTGTAGACATTTGGCTTTGACAGATTGTAGTCAGTATTTGCAGAGAGGTTGGAGAGGAGATGGGGGATGGAGAGCTGAGGGAACGAAGAGGGTCGCCATTCTTGACTCAAATTCCTGTGCTCGCTAGGGTCTTTCAGCCCCCTTTGCCCACTGCAGGCAACCCCTTTGCTTGCCCTAGTGTGCTCTAATACTGCAGTGGTCCACCAGCCTTGCCTTTTGTAGATGGAGTGAATGAATGAAAGCCTGTAGGGTAAAACTTGGGGATGGCCTTTAGATTTGGTATTGCCTGGCCAATGCGCTAGAGGGAGGGAAGGGGGGCCAAACGATTCTTAAAATGGGAGGGGGAGGATAGTGCAGGAATGCTTTCGCCCCTCAACGTTCTGCATCTGTCAACTCAGGTTAGTTTAGTTTGGGTTGTGCAAGAACGTCAGGGTGGAGCTGTATTTTAGCAGAGTGAAAAAAAAAGAACAAGGAAGGGTGCTCAAATTCCTTCCCTTGCTCATTTAATCCGACCGAAAGCAAACGCTCCCGGCTGCTGTGTACATACTGCGGCGATGTGAAATATCAAGATCTCAGTCCTCTTTGTCCTGGCCTCCCTGGTGCTTAAACACTGCCAAATTCTTTGGCAAACCATATCCGATGCCTTTTATTGCTCCTAGTATGCAAATTGTGGTCATTTGAGACCACAGCTCCCTGCAGGGTCATTGGTGCCGTCGTATCAGAAAAGCAATGGAGATGTCAGTATTTGACCGCTCCCCTGGTTTAGTTCTTGCTAGGGGTGCAGATGGCTGAACACAATGCTTGTCCTGTGCTGTGCACCCACTCCGAGCTCCTCCCAACCCAGAGGCAACACTGGCACCTGTCCCAGCTCTTTGGGAGTTAGCTACAGCTGGCTTATAGAATTTATAGAAAAGAAGATTTTTGGGTTTTTATTTTGATATCAGGACAGTTTGGGATTTCTTGGTTTTTCTCTTTTTTTCAGTTTTTATTTTTATGCCTCCAAAAATATATCCGAATAAACTTTAATTCCAAAATTAAAAACATGCTCATCATAGAGAAACTTGTTGTAGGTGTGAATTGCATTTTAAATGTATTTTTGGTAAATGAATCGATCTGGATGAAAAATAAGTATTACATGCCAAAGTTTGATGTCTGACACTCTGTGACATACTTTTGTGTGACTTCCTCCTCCACTGCCAAGACATCTCCCCTTGATGCAGAGTGATTTCAGCACCCAGACTCGAAAAGATCACAGGACTTATCAAGGCAAACAAACAAACAAGTCAAAGACAGGTGTTAATTAAGCTGATCTTTAATGGATCAATGGCAAAAGGGAAGCTTGCAGAGACTGTCTGATCACTGTGGTGTGGGCTGACACATTGGGTTGGGCTTAATGTTTACCCAAAACCCTGCTCAACTGACCTAATACCTGCAGACAGGCCAACAGCCTCATCGATTGGGTAAAAATCCTCCATCCATTGCACTCTCTCTCTCCTCATTCTAAATCCTCCTCCTTTCCATTTTCCCCCTTGCGTGGCCATCAGCACTTGGTCTGAATCAATACATTGTCATACATCAGCTCATTCCCTTCAAAAAGCGTAAGACAAGTGCAACATCCCAGCTTTTGTTCGCCAGTACGCCGCTACTTTTTAGATTCCAGAGGGATTTTTTTTGTGTAATCTCATCCACCCTCTGTGGCATGTTCTCATTTGCCTCTTTCTCTCTTTTCTATGTTCCTCTGAGGCCTCCGTCATGAGGCCGTATTGAGGAGGAGGGGCGTGGGTGGATGCGGGCGCTGGGGGAGGGGGGTAGAAAGGAAGGCCAGGTGTATATCTCATGTGCGGGCCCGAACAGCTGTGCGGCAGGAGGCGGGGCTGGGGTTGTTTTGTTCTTTCCTGCCCCCATTCCTTTCCCCTGAGGCTCGGGCAGTTCGTCACAAGCCTTTTTTGCCCCAACCCCCCTAATTTGAGCCACAGGACTGAGAATGTCGAGTGCGCGGTGAGGACACTGCAGCATACACGGCTCGCTCTGAGACAATGCATCATTGGCGTAGGGGCGAAGGAGGATAAGGGGAGGAAGGGAAGGGTAGAGAGGGCGAAGATAGGGAGAGGGGCTTTTTCTGTCCATGATGTTCTCTTGCAATCGTCGCTGGCAGCAAAATAACTCTCTGTTCTTGTCCACCCACCCCCCGTATCTGTATGTGTCCAAACCTTAGTGCAGGGAGGGGTCTTGGAAGCAAGGGACAGAGCACTGCTTGTGCTGCCTTTGTTCCTGGTGTATCCCAGCCCCCACCGCAGCCGTTCACTCTTTTTGCACTCACGACAACCCAGGCGGATCTGTTGGGATGACTTTAGGCCTGCTGGCCACGCCATATCCTAATAATATCCCTCTAAACGGCCGCATTGAGTCTCTCCCTCAGGCAGCCACGTTTATCCTGATAATGATGCAGGGGTTGTTCGAAGCATTCAGGTTAAGTTCGTTTTTCCTTGCAGCACAGACACCAAGCCATGCCAAACTAGCGGTGATGTGTTTTTACAGTGTCCATGGATCTGTTTGGAAGGGCGACCGTGTGGGGAAAGGACATTGGCAGGGGCCACAGATTCTCACAAAGAACAAAAAAGGACTTGGCTTAGAAGCCAAGGCTCTGCCTTAATGTCTTCGAGACCATTGTGAGCTTCATACAATACCTTGACAGAGGCACACCGTGCCCAGTGCTATTAATAAGCTCCACTGCTCTGTTTCTCCCAGATTTCTGTAGTTTGGTCCCTTGAGGCACTGCAGCATCATTTAGTAAGTTTTTTTTTCTCCACCAGCCTTAGTTGGTATGCACAGAAGAGCTGACAGGCTGCAAGGTGAGGTAGCTGCCCTACTTTTGAGGCCTAGAGTTGCAGGGAGACTCTTTGAAAGGGCAGATGAAGGAGAAAAGCACAAGCATTAGCGTAGAGACCCTTTCTGAATGGTGTATTTGTTGAGCTTGTTTAGTCGAACAAAGACCTTCATAACCCAAAGTCCCATTAGACCAGAACCTCTCTAATCATGCTAAAATGCCAGAGCAAGCCCCAAATCTCATTTGTCTAACCAGGTTAGGAAAGAACTGTTGGGCAGATGTCTGCTGTTGATCTTTGTACAGCCTGTTCTTTCTCTACGAATATCCAAATGATTAAAACTACCACTTACATTTATAGCACAAATCCTTCCTAGATGGCTCAAACCCACCCACCCTGGAAAGATATTAAGTGAAGGGGGGAAATTGAGCCCACACAAAATCCCGATTTCATTTTGATACGGAGAGGTTGATGAAATTGATTAGTGAATTAAAATATGCATCTGGTCTCTTTTTCTATTGCATTCTGGGTGGAATTCCAGCACATGTTTTTCTCTCTCTCTCTACCTCCTTGTCTGTCTTTCTCTCCAGAGGCATTGGGGAGGAGTGAACTATGTGTGCGTATGGGGGTGGGGGTCTTGGTATTGGGGGGTTGGGTAGGTGATTACTCGTTCAATGAGCTCAGGCCAGGAAAAGAAAGGGGGAAAAAAGGGCCCGACTTCGCTTACAATTTCCATTTGCTTGCATTTTCTATTGAAAGCCAATAGCAGTGTCCTCGCCTGGAGATGGATTGCTGCGCTAGAGCTAAGGTTTAATCAATAGGTCTTTTTAATTTGCCATCGATCTATGTTAAAAGCTACTGCTGCTGTTGCTGTGTGTGTATGTGTGGCAGAGCACATGCGATGAAAGATAGTCTGTGCTCAGGATTATTGACATTCTAGCTGGCTATTTCGTTATTTAATTCTGGGATAGTTCCTAATGGAGCTGGCTAATAGATTGTGGTTTCTTGTTCTCTTCCATTCACTTGAATATATTTATAAATGAAAGGTTTAGGGTTGAGCTGTGGAGTGGAAACCCCCCTCGTGTTTTTTCCTCCTTATTTGGCGCAATAGCCGCTAAAACCCTAGCATTGTTTGAGAGATTAGTAAGTGCAAGGTATTTGCTTCCTGTTAAAGAAACGGCAAAGTCAAGATCTTATCGCTTGGGAATGTGTGTGTGCATGCACGCGTGGGCGTCAGTCTCCTCACAGGAGTGTGGGTTACTTTGTGAGAATGCACTTCTCCCTTTTGCGTATCTCAAGGGCACGCCTGCCAGGACATTTCGAACCGTTTCTGATAAGGGAAGAGAGGACTTGTTGCCACATACTGGGATGTTCTCTTTTGAAATGAGACAGCAGTGGAGAGTGGTTATTTCTGTACCGATTTAAAGAGAGAGAGAGAGCATTGGGGTGGGGGTAATCGCAGCATGCCTTTTTAAGAACATCAGCGTCACCACTCAGACTTGAGTTTATTTATCCAGCTCCCAGCCTTTGATAACATTCAGCAGGATCAGCAGTCGGGATCCAAAGCACTGAGTCATTCTGTCCTAGACCAAATTATGTGTATTGCACCAGCATTTCCCCCTGCTAAAAAGACTAGCATAGATAGTCACCACCTTATGTTGTGATTTGGATAGTCATTAGCATGGGATGCTTAAATGCAGACTGTATCCACACCAAGTCTTTCTTGGTCAACCTGCTTTGCCAGAAAGCTTTGGTGTGCCAGCTAGGGATGAGTCAGTAGTCAACTAGTCAGTCAACAACCTTTTATTTTTACCCAATTTTCTTACCCCTGAAGTGGTGCCATTACAGCCATACACATTCAGATGAACACCTTTGGCTGCTCTATCACATCTTGCATTGTTTTTTGAGTCTCGAAAGTGTTGTAATTTCTCAAAACACCTGCATTCTGTTTTAGGCTGTTGTATTCGAGTCAACTAGTTGTTTAGGCAAACCCTATGAAAATTAGATTTTAGAACGGTGTATTTTTGCACATTCTTTTGCCAGTTTAAACTACCCTAACCAGTGTCATTTATCCTGAACCAAAAATTCAGGACTTGACTCTAACTGCTGTTGCTTTTTCTTCCTGGTTCTTCAGGTGACCGATTGCGTCAGACAGAGAACCGAGCCACACGCTGCAAAGTGGAGCGACTGCAGTTGCTCATGCAGCAGAAGCGTCTGCGCAGGAAGGCCCGGCGAGATTCCCGCGCCCCATACCACTGGCTCCCCAACCGCAAGGCTGGACGCAGCAACAGTAACAGCAGTATGTCTAGCGAAGGCTCCCTGGACCTGGACTTTGAAGACTCTGTGTGGAAGCCCGACGTCAAAGCTGATATGAAATCAGAATTCATCATGGCCTGAAGCAACAACGGTTGTGCCATTTTGATCAAGGAAGACTGGGGTTTACACTTTAGAGAGGATACTTTCTGAAGACTGTGTCCAAAGACGCACATTCAGAATTTCGTAGGCTTCACTCCTCATCTATCCTGTGACCACAAAGACTTTACACAAAGGAAGATTCACAGACTTGTACTTACCTTACATCCTTGATAGACTATGATCTTGGAATAGACTAAATTTTCAAATGACGATGTTTGGATATGGATTGGACTGATGAATAGACAGAATTTGGACTCAGAATGTCCAAGAAGTAAACACAAATGAGCATAGCAGACGTCATTGGTGTTGGGATTTGTTTTTCTCTTTACTTTTTTTTTTCCCAGGGGGAAGATCCATACAGGCCAAATGCAGGCACGATGAACTAACAAAAATCAGAAACTGATCCTACTTCCTCCTTTTTTCCTTACAAATGGGCATTCACAGTTCAAGAATCATTTGAAGGGGGTTATCTTTGTTTTTAAGTCCTGTTTTTCTTGAATCATGATGATTTATGAAACAAAATATGTAGCATTACCCACAAAGCATTCAGGTTTTTTATCTTGTAGACAAGGAAGGTTCATTTGCACACACACACCCGTGATTTGAACTAGACAAACAATATCATAACATAACCAAGAGATGGCACAGTGCATGTTTAGTATAAATATATATAAAAAAACATAATAATAATACAAAAATTGCTTTCTCAACAACAGCTCACTGTAGAGTCAGAGGTTCAAGTAGGAAACTAAAACATGAAACGAAACGAAAATATGCTGATGTGATTTAAGATGCAAGGCTTGTGAAGTAGGTTGTTTTTAGAATATATAAAGAGTGACTTTTCTTTTTTCTTTTTTTATCTCCGTGTAAACACAAACCAACCAAACGTAAAACAGCAATTGCTCAGCAAGGCTCGAGTCAAGCTGTGAGATGAATCTGATGTTATATAATCATTTAAATACACACTGTATCTCTCCTGTTACTGTCTAAATGTGTATAATAGAGAGAGTGGTGGGGTGCCAGAGGAATAGTTTACAATTGTGCATTATAATGGCTCGCTCTGCCAAAGTGGAATCTCTCATTTATGCATTCGACTAAAACAAACCGCCGTTCAAGGGTTTTATCCCAGCAACAGCTTACAGTTGTGATACAATTTTAACAAGACTACCAATATTTATTTGGCCAGACTTCTTTGCAGATTCCCATTTAAACATCCAGACCGGAGCGTATCCTCCACTCTCGATAGTGCCTCATATGTAGACGCACTGACATATTCTATCAGGCGTCCCACAGAGAAGACAGTTCTGCTGCTATATGGGACTTCTCTTTGCATGCAAAAGTATGAACTATCCTGATCCTTTTTATACAAGAAAATAATAATAATAATAACAACAATACTGAGATACTGGTGCTGAAAAGAAAAGATATACAAGCATGAATTTGTGAAAATGGAAAAAAAAAATCGCTTCAGCTACTTGGGATTTTCGAATTCGGATTGTGATGTTACATATCAGTCGCAAACCAAAACAGGACTGGAATTCTACTGTACATGGATCATTCCTGGACTAACTAACGAACAATGGAACATGTTCTACTCCCAACATCCAAGGGATCCTCAGAGCAAACCCCAACACTCCCATCGACCTCCCATCGGACTAACAGGGATGTTAGCAACCAACGTTCGCCCCTAATGACTTCTTGGAAATAAACGTGAAAATGTCCTGAACCACATTGATGTTGCACTCACTGAGTTTGCAATGAGATTACCTACCTGAAGGGGAACATTGTCTTTTCCTTTTTTTCTGTTCAAGTGGCCTTAACGTTCATTATCGAAACACTTGCAGAGTGGTGGACAACATAGGGATGTTTTTGTTGTTTTTTGTCCTGTGCTTTTGTTAAAGCATCAATTTTCCGTGGGCAATTTTTGTGTTTTGGAGGTGGAGGCTCTATTATGTCAAGGCTTCAGTGCCTTAAAGTTTTGCCCCTTCGTTGTGTACGAAAAAAAAAATCTGAACAAATTCGCATTTATGCAGGTTTTTATCAATTCATAGGAGCTCTGGTAGAATATTGTCTGTTTTATGGTTTGATTGTTACAAGTCACGACCTGGAGTTCAAACAGGTTCCATCAGTGTGTTCCATTGTTTGTTTGATTACGTCCCTTGAACCCTGCTGTCCTACAAAGAAGCAACAAATTTACATATATAACTGAAAAAAAAGGAAGTTTCAACTGCAGTGCTATAGCAACAAAGTGCCCTAACTCTCAATTGAGATGTCCTTTAAGGACACACTGACAACATGCACTTCCCTTCTTCTCAGATAAACAACTTCAATGGATGATTTCTCCCTCTCCCCCGAGAAAATCATTATTTAATTTTTATATATGTATGAAATATACTCTGTGTGTGCCTCACCTATATGTAAAACGGTAAAAAAAAAAGTGAAAACTGAAAAAAAGCATAGGAGATGATCTGAGTTTTAGGATAGGGTAATTGAATGAGGGTGGAGGGAGGGAACGGGGGGCATTTTCAATAGTTTGTTGGAGTTCCGATCACATCATTTAAGTTGCCTGTTCTTTCTTGTAGCCAATGAAAACTGATTACAAGAGTCGAGAAAAAAAAAAAACAATTTACTATGTTCTAGCTATAGACCGGTGTAGCACATGTGTGACTGTATTAATTTATGAAACCAAAATGGTAACTGTGAATTATGTATTTCTTTGTGCTTTTTTTAAAGTGGGTGGAAGGCGGAAAAGGGCGTTGCTGTGCCCTGTTTTGTTTTTGTGGAATATAATGGAAATAATCAAGTAAAAAAAAATCTAAATATATTTTTTTTCTTAAGCAATACATTTCAGTGTGACTTGTGATAGGACATTTTCTTTTTTTAGGTAATAAATTGAAAGAAAAAATGTTTTTTATTGTGTACGTGTGACTTATTTACTTTATCCCCTGTGCAATTTGCATGTTATATATACTTTTCTATGAAAAGCTATCATAAGAGAGAGATTTGGGCCGCTCTACATAAGCAGCTACTTTAGGTCTCATAAAAATATCATGTTTTGACATTAGCATGTTGTTAAGCTAAAAGCACAATACGCTTAAAAAGCATAACAATGCGCTGTACACACAAATAATTGGTAAAATCATTTTCAGTAATTTTATCAATACAGTGGGAAAATATTTATTTGATCCCCTGCTGATTTTGTAAGTATGCCCACTTACAAAGAAATGAAGGGGTTGTAACTTTATGATTTATTTTAACTTATAGAGACAGAATATCAACCAAAAAATCCAGAAAAAACACGTTATATAAAAGTTAGAAATTGATTTGCATTTCAGTGAGTGAAATAAGTATTTGATCCCCAAGCAAAACATGTCTTAGTACTTGGTGCAGAAACCCTTGTTTGCAAGCATAGAGGTAAGACTCCTCTTTACAGATCCTCTCTAAATCCTTAAGATTTCTTGGCTGTCGTCTGGCAACTCGAAGTTTCAGCTCCCTCCACAGATGTTCTATAGGATTGAGGTCTAGAGACAGGCTTGGCCACTCCATGACCTTAATGTGCTTCTTCTTGAGCCACTCCTTTGTTGCCTTGGCGGTATGTTTCGGGTCATTGTCATGCTGGAAGACCCATCTTCAGTGTTCTGGCTGAGGGAAGGAGGTTCTCGTCCAAGATTTTACAGTCCATTTGCCCCTCAATGCAGTGAAGTCGTCCTGTACCCTTAGCAGAAAGCATAATGTTTTCACCTCCGTGCTTGACTGTAGGGATGGTGTTCTTGGGGTCATAGTCAGCATTTCTCTCCCTCCAAACACGGCGAGTCAAGTTAATGCCAAAAAGCTCAATTTTGGTCTCATCTGACCACAGCACTTTCTCCCAAGCCTTCTCTGAATCATTTTGATGTTCTTTAGCACTTTAAACGAGACTGTACATGTGCCTTCTTGAGCAGGGGGA